CAGTATTGAAATGGAATTCATTGTTGCTTACAGAACAGAAAAATAATGGATCAATTGCATCTGTTTTAAGCATTGCTACTTTTTAAAAGAATTTTATTCATGGAGTTTTAGTAATACAATATTTTTTTGAAGAAAGTTGAAAGCTTCACGTAGGACTCTTACAGAAATAAAACTCTGGGTTTGTGTGCACAATTCTTCCCAATAATCATTCTTGCATTTATCCAGGAACAAACATAATCAGCAACTACTTCTGAGTCCCAAGGAGCCAGTCTAACTTACACTTCAACATTAAGAATCTCACTATGAAGAAAAAGCATTAAAAAAAAAAAAAAAAAAAAAAAAAAGGATGGAACTAGGGAAATAGATACACGTACAGTGAAAACCTGTCATACATTTATGCTTATTATACTGTTTTTGGATTTCCAAACATTATTCACATTGCATGGATTTATGTGAAATATTACATCATGTACAAGAAAAATGTTTATTGTCATGTTATTTTTAATGCATTTCTCTGACAAGAGGAAATTGTATCATTTCAGAAACATGAATGTTACTCGTTATCCCTTATGTGTGGGGATACACTCATATTCTTGTCCTCAACTAATGCACACCTGTCCTGATGTGTCAAAGAATTAGTAAGAAATCTAGTAAAAGCGATAGAATTTTATTTTTGAAGACTACAAAAAAAAAAAAAAAAAAAAAGATAAAAGAAAAATGACTTCATCTGACAGAGTTCTCCACTGCTGAGGATCATAGAATCATAGAATGGCCTGGGTTGAAAAGAACGGCAATGATCAGCTAGTTCCAACCCCCCCTGCTATATGCAGGGTTGCCAACCAGCAGACCAGGCTGCCCAGAGCCACATCCAGCCTGGCCTTGAATGCCTCCAGGGATGGGGCATCCACAACATCCTTGGGCAGCCTGTTCTAGTGCATCACCACCCTCTGTGTGAAAAACTTCCTCCTAATTTTTAAGCTAAGCCTCCCCCTGTCTCAGTTTAAAACCATTCCCCCTTGTCCTATCACTATCCACCCTCAGAAACAGCCATTCCCTCTCCTGTTTATATGCTCCCTTCAAGTATTAGAAGACCACTGTGAGGTTTTCCTGGAACCTTCTCTTCTCCAAGCTAAACAGGCCCAGTTTCCTCAGCCTTTCCTCTTAGAAGAACAGGATATCAGCTTGGAGGCTTGCTTGCTGGAATTTGTCAGTGATGAATTTGTAGTTGTGATTGAGAAAATGTCACAATCTACCTTTATCCACTGCAAAGATGATTTTTATCACCAATCTCAGGAAAATATTTCTTAACAGTGCTTTTTCTGCCTTCCAACTTCCTATTTCCCTACTTTTGCTGCATTTCTAATGCCCCCATCAGTCCAAGTTATGCTGTCAATTACAATACTTTTTCTAGGAAGAAAATACAGATATCTCTACACAAGGAATTAAAAGAATTTCACCTGCTAGCACTGCAAATAGATTAATATATTTATGATCACTTAATTTCACAGTTTTGTGGTAGGCTCCTGTTTGTATGTATTTGCAGCCTGAAATATGTCTTTAAGACAGCTGAAGAGGAAAGAATGTTGTGAGAGGAATTTCTTCCTACTTTATTACATTCTTCCTATCACTTAAAACAGCTATTAAAAAATGTTTAAGATATAATTTCTCTGAATATATCATAGAACATTAAGATTTCTTTTCATAAACTAAAGACAGGTTAACCTGTCAGAAATACCATTTGTATGAAAGTATCAAAAACAACACATAGAGGATACAGTTAAAAATAGCATTGCCAATGAAAAAATTTAAAAGGCCCTAATAAGCTGACAGCATGAATCCATGCTTAAATAAGAATGGCTAGATTGACACAGTGACATTTGACTGCCACCATTAATCTTGCCCAATCATTTATGAATAAAAATGAATCTCTTGCTGCAATTATGGTGCTTATCCAAAAGAAAGAATTTTTATGGACAATCTAACCTAGAGGTTACAACAATTAATTTCATGAATACTGAAATGTCAATTCTCTCGCTATGACTGGGATTAATCTACGTAATATTGATTTGCAGCTCATGCTGCTCTTAACATCTATCTGAAAACCAGGACATGCAGAATTTATGTTCTGAAGGAAGAAAAAGAATAATGGGGTCAAAAAGATTTTCCAGTGCTGGAGAGTAACCACACCACTTTATATTCTACTGACAATGAGGTTTTCAGCAAACATGAATATATACAACTGAGGAAGAAAATTATTTTGAGAATACACACATGGAGACCTAAGCATTGTAATCATGATTTTAATTGAGTGCCTCTAATGGAGGTTCCAAAGAGGTTAAACCACGGCTGGATGAAATATTAATGTATTTAGTAGCTACTGGTCTACCATTTTGTTGGATTAAAATGACAAAAGGTCACTGCATAAGCAAACAAACATCTCTAAATGTTGAGATTGTTAGAATGCAATAGAAGAAGTTTTGAGATTTAGCAATAAACTCTTCAGAAATTGAATCAGTGACAGAACAAGTTAATCTCCAAACTTATTGCACTTAATTTTAACGACATATTATCTGTTTTTTCATGCATGCTAAGTAGGGTAATTTATATGTTGTTTAAAGACATGTATCATAATTATTTGAAGATTTCATGTACAAAAATATTTTATGCATACTCAGCACTACTCAGCATGAATCCCTCCTTGATGCCCAGTAGCTTTTCAGGAAGAATCCTTTCTTTTTTTTTTCCTTTAAAGAGCTGTATTCCTTTTCAGAGGAGCAGAAGAGACAGCATCACCATAACACATAATCATTTTTGACAACCCATCAGTCCAAAGAGACATTTGGAAGTGTTCTATGAGAGTACTTGAAACTCTCTTTATGATTCCAGAGACTTGGAAGTTTAGAAGAGCTGATTCAACAACTGTGCTAGGAGTCCCATTTCTTGAATACTGTGTTAATGCAATGCTGGGATCCACTGCTCTTTCTTGTGCAAACATCTTTAGGTTGTCTGGTGCCTATCAATCAGCATATATCAGATCAAGCTTTCATTTGGTCTAAATAATGTAAATATGTTTATGACTGGAGAAGGCCGATACTCTTAATCCATATTTTATCAAACCACTAGTCTAGTTTGCTTGAATCCACACATTCAGGAAAAAATTATCTGTGTAATAGTACAGTGAAGAGCACAATGAAGTGGTGGGTGATGCGTTTTAGCAGTGCTGACACCAAGAGTAGGTCACCTCTGTTGGTGTAGATTTTTACATGTGGCATGCAGGTTCTTGATAACTGCTATTGAAAATGCATAGCTACTGGTGGTGACCATATTAAAAAATCAGTGCTTTGTAGCTGAGAATTTGCTCTATCAAATGGAGTGAAAACTCTTAAGAAGGGAGAATTTCCAGCTTAATTATTATTTAAGGAATTATTGGAGAGATCCACAGGAAAACTGTACTTAGGGACATAGGAATGGAGTACCATTGCCAGCTCTTTAAGGAAACCCTTCTGAGAGCACAAGAGACAAGAGCTCTCCATCCACCAGCATAAGAAATCAAGCAAAAGAGGCAGGAAACCAGAATGGTTGAGCAAGGACCTGCTGGTTAAATTGAGGGATAAGAAAATACAGAGGCAGAGGCAGCAGGGATATGTGGCTTCGGATGAATGCACGAATGCCATCTGGACATGCAGAGATGGGATCTGGAAAGCCAAGGTATAGATGGAACTGCATTTGGCGAGGGATGTGAAAAATAACAAGGGATTCTGTAGGTATACTTGTCAGAAGAGACAAGGCAGAAGAGAAGAGGCAAAGAAAAGTGTACCTTCAGAGAAATGAGAAGGGAGAATTGGCTTCGACAGATTTGGAAAAGGCAGAGTTCCCTGCTTCAATCTTCATTGGCTATCATGTTTCCCACACCTCTCATGTCTGAATCTCTAGGTGGGATTCAAAGGAAGAAAATCCCTCTCAAGAGCAGATAAAGTTAGAGACTACAAGTTTATTGGGGCTGGCTACATGTTAGGAGAAAATTCTTTACTCAGGGGTGGTGAGGCACTGGTAAAGGCTGCCCAGAGAAACTGTGGATGCCCTATCCCTGGAAGTGTTCAAGACTATGTTGGATGGGGCCCTCAGCAGCCCTAGTGGGTGGCAACCCTGCCCATGACAGCGGGGTTGGAATTAGATTTTCTTTATGGTCCTTTCCAAATTAAACCATTCTATGACTCTGTGACGTGACTTTCTTATCTCGCTGATCTAACCTCACCGATTCTAATGGAAACTTAGTCAGCACCATGTTAATAGACATACATTTATGCAGATATACCAGCTACATTGATGTTAAACATCAAACTATCTAACAAGGAGTGCACACTCAGGTCTAAAAAGTAATTTGGTTTAGAGAATTTTACAAGGCAGTAAAAAGTAATAATCCATTGTGTTTTTTGATGAATTTAAGAATTAATGTGACTAACTTTCTTCTTTTACTCGGATTCTTCAAATTTTTTCCAATGTTAAGAAAGTCAGCCCTAATTTTCAATTAATGTCATAAAAGCAAACAATTTATATTTTGTAAAATAGAACCATAATGTAAAGCAACAAATTTTAAATTCAATTTAGGCAAGTAGAATTATGCTTTATGGAAGAAAATGTTTAAAGTAGTTTAAAAGAACCTCCACAAAAAAAAAATAAAATAAAATAAAATAAAAAAAACAAATTGTATTTCAGTAGTAAAATGCATTGATTTCCAGTTTTTTTAATCAAGGTGAATTCATACATTTGAAAATTCTAATTTCCAAACATTATATACTCAAAGATTGTTATTACATGGGCACGGACAGATCAATATTGCTCTTACGAAGCTTTCAGAACCCTTCTATGCGTTAAAATGTATTCAGATCCTCATTAATGGAGCTCATCAATCTCATGCAATTATTGAGCATATATATTATCTAAATATATCTTATTCTACTAAAAAAATGGCTCCAGGATTTAAATTATTCATTACTTACCCCAGATCTTTGAACTTCCAAGAAAATTGCTCTTTGAAATGATTTCTCCCAAACTGCCAACTCGCTGCCCAGCTCTACATTGAAACAATGACTCTTGCCATGTCCAACCATAACACTGAAACAATAGGGCCTGTGGTCTTCAAAATCGAAGTCCTGATGAATACCAAAATACAAGTTTGCTTGTAGCCAACAATCATCAGCAAGCCAGAGCTGAAAGATATGTTTCAGTATGTGATTCTTCATCTAGCAAAACAGTTAAAGCAACATTGTCTTTTGTAAGTAGTGAGTACTTGGATATGTTGTTATTAACTTAATAATTATCTTGAAGAAACATTTTGACAATTAAGCAATATTTCCAAAATTCTCTAATTGGTTCTAATTCATGTAACCTTGTATCATATATTCAAAGCTACTTCAGTAGTTCAGAATTACTGTCAAACTTATCTAAGCAACACGTTCACAATTTAAAAGGAGTTTGTACAGTACATTGTTTACAGTGAGAAGAAACAAAATTTCTTATTTGTTTGAATGCACTTCAAGAGCCGTCCATAAGTCTTACTGATGAATATAGCTAATGCATTCTAACTGGATTTCAATTTCCTGAACACTCAGGAATGTAATACTCTACCAAGCACACAAAGGATCATTCAGGAAATGATGACCTGAACTTTCTAATACCCTCTAATAGCTTCCATTGCTGCTCTGCTACAACAAAGGGAGTGAAATGGGATACTGCCACCATCTTCAGGATGAAGAAGATGAAAAATTTCACAAAATTTTCACTTTTATCATAACAAAAATCCTTGTAAAAGAAAGCTTTTCACTGAAAACAAAATGTCATGTGAAACTTCTCAAATATTAAAAGTGACTAGCATAGAGAAAAACAAAACTAAATTAAAAGCTTTTACAGTTGAGTACTTTCAATGATTGTTTTTCCATATATATATTTATATATTTTAATTTCTATTTATCAGGGCCTTTTCCCATCTCCATTTCTCTATAATGATATGGAGCAGAAAAGATTGAAAAACCATGAAAGAATTTACAAATGGAATCTTTTTTCTCATCTTATAAAATCACTTGCAATCAGAATTTTATTTCTCTAGCAATCCACATCAAGTTTGGGAGAGCTGACTCAGGTCAAGCAAATCTGAGGTAAAAGCAGTAACGCTGGAGTGGACATAGCTGGCTTTGAAAAGATCAGAATGTAGCTCTGTAATGGCACCTAAGTCCTGGAATCTCACAGTAAAAGATTCTTTAGACTTCAAATTTATTTTTTCCAAAGGTTCCAATGGTATATCAGAGCCTACCAGAGATTGGAAATTCTGTGGACATAAAAACAAGCAAACAACTGGGATCTGAGCCTTGTCACCTAAAATACTTTGCTATATGTAAGACAAATGTTTAAAAGCACAGGGTTTTGCATCCTTTCTGTTCTAGATGCACAAACAACTTTACAAGACAGCAGTGAAGATCCAGTTTCAGTAATAAAAAGTAGAGGAAACAAATGATTCAGCAGTACAATCTTCCTTGTGTACTGCTCTCGTATTCATAAACAGGATCAAAATAACTCATACTGAATATTTCGTTTATATAGGTGAATTACTGAATAACGTTAAGCTGGCATATCTAAACTTATCCAATTTACTTGCCTATCTGTTAAATTATGGATATTTGAGGGCATACCTCTGAGGCAATACATAATTGTACCAGGGTACATGAGACTTTGCTGTCAAAAAAGGCCCTACAGCTGGCATAGGAGAGGTTTTTGTCTTTATGCAGTTCAAAACTACTTTCCAATGCTTGTTTGCACTGGCAAAAAGGAACCTGAATAAAATAAGTGCATATCATCTCATGTTAAGTACACATGGAGTAACAAGTAATAAGCCTACATCTACTTCAGTACTACCCAATGAATAGTACTCATCGTGGCTGTTAGACTAAAATATTTTTGTTTCATCTTTTTGTACTTAGAAATGTGATGTGTGAAATACTATGCAATAAAAGAAAATCAAACATCTTTAATACAGGTTACTTTTAAAAACACATATAATGTTATATACTGCTTTTCATTAACAGTTCCAGTAAATACAAAGTATGAAGAAAATTTAGGACATATATATAAATTTATAAATTTATAAATTTAGGACATATACATAAGTGGGATCACATTTTCAGTCACCTGCCTGTTACTGTTAATTGTTCATGTATATGAATGCTAATTAACATATTTTCATATCTATGTGAATTAAAATATGTATTTATATGCATGTATACACACACCATCCTAAAATACAGCAAAACGGTTATAAGATGCCCTTCCCATATTGGATGCTTATTTTCCATTTTTAACTCTTTTTGCTTAATGAACACAGGTGAGACGCTTACAGTTGAGTAACAAGTGCACCTTCCCTTAAAAATAGAAAAGCACTCTCCATCATGGCTTTGCAGTAGTTCTAACCAGCTCCTGAAAATCCTTAAAAACACTCTCCCAATCTGTATTTTTTACAACATAAACTCCGCCTTTCAGTCTATAATGTAGGAACTCTAATCTCTTAAGATTTTTTCCATCTTTTTGGATTTGTTCAGTTTGCCTCATCATCATTCATATCAAAGGATCAACAGAAAAGAGGTTAAAGTGCTGAACTTGAGCTTTTGCACTTTAGTTAATGTATTCATGAAGACTAGCAATTAAACATTAATTTATTAAAATGTCAAGAACATTAAAGGGTTGAATCTTTGGTAGTTTACTTCCCATTTCCTTTTCTTAATGAAAAAGTACCACAGAACGTGATTTAAGGATAAACTATCTTTGAAATTAAAAAGGGGTGGCTTTCAAATCGGTAGCGATATTTGAAGGAGAAAAATCAAAAGCAAAACCCACACTGGAGAAAAATCTTTTCAAAAAGTATGAGTATTTGTTTTGTTGTTGCTCAAATTACCTACCTGGAAAATGTAAATTTTCAGAAAACCTAATAACACAGAATCAAAAATCAGGGTCAGATTCTCTGCTCTTTGCTGCTGTCTCAGTGATGGTCAGGATCTTTCCGCACATATCCGTGATCAGTCACGGTCACATTAATCTACATTAACGCTACATCCACAAAAGAAGTACTGAGCTCCTGGCTGAGTGCCTGTGCTCTGGAGCTCAGCTCAGGTCTGCAAGTCCAAGAGTGTCAGGCTCTTGGTAAGGCACAGGCCAAGACCCTTCCCTCTCTCACTTCTGTCAGAAAAGGGAATCATCCCCTCCTGCTCAGTAAAAGAAGGCTTCCTAGAGCATAAAAGCAAACACTGATGGGCCGGAATTTTCACTTACAGCTGCAAAACAGGCATCTGACATCAGGTTCTTTTACCAGCCAGTTAATGGAGCTGACACAACTCTAAAAGGGAGATGTCAGTGCAAGGCTGAGAGCTATTGTTTGGTTTTTGTTTTGTTTTGTTTTGTTTTTGTTTGTTTGTTTTTGTCTGTGTGCTTCTTACTCTGTTTGTAACTTCATCTTGATTACTATTTATTTATTTCTAAATTACAATCCTCAAAATTGATGTAGGAAATATATCACTGCTGTGGAAATTCATTTTGGGACAAGCAATTTGAGCAGCCAGGACATGGAAACTCCATCATTCCATTCTCCAAACAATTTGGTCCTTTAATGAAACAGGTAACAACACCCTTTTTGCTGTACAGGGTGGAGTGTTATTGTCAGGTCTTTGCTTCTGTACACTGTCCCAGTTAACTGTGTTCTGATAGAAAAGCATCCACAAGAAGTACTCCATCAACTAAGGAGCTCTCCCTTGGTAGCATTGCTAAGCCAGGATCTGCACCAGTAACACAGCAACATTCCTTCTCCACAACATGAGTACATGCTCAAAGGAGAAACATCAGAGGGAAGGACAGCAGCTGGTGAGAACTGGAGCTTGTTTGGAATTTTTCAATGAAACAGCATCTCATGGGAAAGGATTTTCTTGATTATTCCTTGAGAAAGTTTTCAGTTTTACTTTCTTAGGAATATCTTTCATCTAGCTCTATCTTGCCTGCAAAGTTCTTTTTGACTATTCGGTAGTGAACTATACTAACTTATTTGATGCAACTACTTAAAAAATATCTTTTGTAAGTCAACTATTTAAACAGACCAATAGAGTTTGTTCTAAAGCCTTCCTTGCTACAAGCTAAACAGAAATATGACACTATATATTATTATATATATTCTAGATGGTGGAAAAAAGAAATTTATGGTACACAAATGGACATCACTGCCCCTTTTATGGTTAAAAACAACTATAATGTTATCAAATTATGAATGATCTAAGAATGGCAGAATTGTATAGTTCTTATTACTCAAATAAAAGAATTTTCATGTAGAAAACATTCTTCAATACATTCACTTAAAAAATCTAAGCTACTAGGAAAACAACATTATCTGATTCCATTATGATCAGCTGATTGTCTCATCAGCATTTCATGTCTGATTCTCACATGGAAAGAAAATACTCTTCAGTTTAGGAGAACTTAAGGAATTTGCCTACTTGGACCTTAATCTGTTTTCCAGATTCAATTATACTGCAACAGTCATTGCAAAAAGGTTTTATTACAACAAATAAGCTACTTGAATGTCAGCTACCCCTAAATGAGATTAAACTGATCTCAACATCAACAGGAAGAGGCAAGCTTTCTTTACTGTATAATATAATTGTAATTGTTCGGAAACCTACCTTGTGAATTTTAAATAGAACCTCACAGAGGTTATACATTTTTTCAGCTCGTACCCAGTCTAGTGTGCTTACCTATAATATCAAAATACAATATTAAGAACAAATTCTTCTTCATTCTAAAATCATTTAAAGATGAAGAAAATATATAGATTTCACCAATCATTATTCTACCTTTAAATATAAGCAAATGTTAACTACATTTAATATCTAGCATTTAAAAATACTGTCAAATAGCATTCAGTTTCTTCCAGAAACAGTATCTACATGAGTTTTACTATAATTAAAATATATGATATAATTAGAGAGATTTCTTTTCCATTGTTACTTTGTTTACATTGTTACAGCATGATGGAAACCTTTTTGTAATCTCTGTAGTGAGGTACATAATAACATTTATTTTTCACTGTGCTAACATAGAGAACCTTCTCAAACACAAAGGTATTCTGCTCCATATCTCAATTTAATAAAAACCTTCGCATCAGCAGACCAAGATGTGGTCCTAAATACAGGTTTGAGTTGACATACGGTAGGGCACCATTACCTTAATATTTATATTAAAAACAGAAAAGGATTATGTGACTACAATATTTGAAACTAAAAAGCTTGTCAGCTGCGCACATAACAATGAATACTAATAACTGGATTTTGTTTTCTTTTGGTTTTGTTGTTTTATCTTGTTCACATTATAGGCTATTCAAATTTGACAGTTGGAATGATAGGGGAAGACTTTTCCTTAAGACTAGGTCATGACATACTGTGCTAATCTATTTTCTATTAAAAACAGAATCTAGCCTAGATAGCATAAGGAAAAGAGAACCCATGCATGAAAAATATCAGGGAAATACACACTGTTTTAATTACATGTTTTAGCGCAAAATTCTAACTTGATAAATTAATAGGAATATCTGTATAGATTTATAAAGAATTTGAGTAAACTGAACTCTGAAGCTTTTAGCACAAGGAAATCAGTGTTTTGGTAACTGTTCTAACAGTTTGGATGCCTTAAAATACCAGGGAAGATGTAGCTTGGTTTGTTTCCCCTCCCTCACTTTCCAAAGGAAGAGAGCAGATTCACTCTTAAAGTATTAGCTATAACAAAATGTGTCTACAAATCATCTCGGTTCTATGAATAGAAGTTAACCAGGAAAGAATGGTGAAATTCTTTACGTGATTATTTCAGTGTATATAATAGCATGAATTTCAGCTATAGTACATGAATCTTGCTCATGTTGTTTCACATGAACATGATTTATATTTTTACTTTCAATGGGATCATCTTCACAGACTCTAAATCTCAAAGGTTCAGAAATTGTGTTGTAATACAATGATGCTATCACTTTATCACATCACAACAACACCGAAGACAATTGTTGTGACTTCTACCGGTTATCAAACTGTATTTCTCTGAGGGCCCTTGGAAGAGTAAGGTAAACTCGGAGCTAGTTTCTGTCTAATCTTATCTGCTTATGTTTTTTTCACATTAATTTGAACTAATGAACATTACCATTAGTCCTCTTTCATATGCTTTTCAAAGCACTGTTTTAGAATTTACTTGAATTCTGAAGATGGCAATTATCTCACCTAAATTTAGACAGAGGTGGTATCTAGTTTGATTGTTAATAACATCTTAAAAAATGTAAAACCAAATTCTTAGAAATTTAATTTTAATTTTTGTTAACTGGGAAAGAAGAAAACAAAAGCAGGGGTTTCTTCCAGCCCTTACAGCTCCCTTCCATAAGATTGATGAACAGACCTTGGAAATTATTTCTATCTTCAGTCATTGAAAGAAAGTTTATAACAAATTCATAGTAGATCTTTAACTTCTAGATGATTGGATTTAGTTCAGATGAATCATGTACTGCAAAAGGAACTGAAGACCTCTACAAAAAGAAGTTCTGCCACCACTTATTTCCAGGATATAAAGAGAGTCATACTTTAGGGTTCTCATTGTGAAACTTATATATTTTAGTAGTCAAGTGGGAAGAATCATTTGAATACAATGCATGCAGTAAAATATGCAAATACACTATGTACTTTTTCATTCTGATATATAATGAGCAGTTTCTCCTTACGAATTAAATCTCAAACCATTACTTAACAATAACTTTCAAAGTACTCAATAATACCCAAAGGAAATTTGCCAGATTTAAATCTAAAGATAATTGTCTTAGAAAATTATTTTAAAGCATTTTTAGATACTATACTCGTCATCTCATCACTTCATAAGATGTAGGATTTTTTAGTCATACATCACTAATTTTTATTTTTCCATTAATCTTTTCCTTCACGTAAGGTCTATTCAATATTTTATTTCAGGTTTGCTTTTTGCTAAGAGTAAGAAATCACAAAAGATTAGAAACAATTGGAATTGAGGAATTGTAAAGCTAATTCAAAAATAAACATTATACTTTTTAATATGTTCACTTACACTAGTACTGTACACCTTTTCTTGATCCTTACCATATGGAAATATTTTTTAGTTTGACAGCTGATATGAATATAAAATCATTAAGTAAAATAAAATAATTAGAGGCCAGATTGGATGGGGCTCTGGGCAAACTCTGCCCAAAAATAAAAGTGTCTGATTTAGTGGTTGGCAATCCTGCCCATGACATGGGAGTGAGAGAACTAGGTGATCTCTGAGATCTGTTCCAACCCAAGCCATTCTATGCTTATATGATAAATAGAACAAGCTTTAGCGTACCATTGTTGACCCTCGAAGGGGATCTTCATGCTTCTTACAAAATAAGGTTTACAGCCTAAAATGGTGGTTAGTTCACTATTTGATCCGATGTTTATGAAACATAATTTAGTGACATGCTCTATAATCAAGAACAGGTGAGATATGGCTTACATTTGCTTCTTTTTTTTTTTTTTTAATTATTATTCCTGTAGATTAATTTGGATTGTTGTAATTCTTTTGTGCCACCAATGATGGGAAATGGTGAAACTGCTGTGCTATTAATTTTTTTTCTGAATACTTCTGTTTTCTCCTTAATACCTTTGAATTTCTTTCATCTTTTGACTCTCTGTAACCTATTATGATATTTTCAGCAGAGATAGCTAGTAATCATAGATCACAACCAGCACCTGTATAAGCCAGGATTTTCTTTTTCTGCGTACGTCAAAAAAAGACCATCATATCTAAAGCCAAGTGAAACAATCTGAACAGCACGGTGTGCAAGGTCACCAGTACAACATAAATGACATGTTGAGAAATCTTACGGAATGGAAACAACAAAGAGATACTGGAACCCAAAGAGACAGCTGACATTAATATGGTTTCCACTATAGAACCACTGTAGTATGCTTAAATTTAAAATGCTGTTGTCAGTGGCTGCACATGATCACAAATGATTATATAATTCTAGTCAACTAGTAAATCTGGAAAGAATCAAAACACTCAGAGGACCAGAGAGATAATAAACATGAAGTAGGATACAAAAATAGGAATCTTAAGTTAAAATTTTAAGACCATGGGAGACTGAAATAAACACAATAAACAGTAACACTTACAATAAAAACAGTTACAAAAATGCTAATTATTCTATTAAGTACTTTTTAGTGTGAGTTGCTTGTAAGCACCTCATGTTTCCCAAACAAGCACCACAGTGGACTTAACTACACCAAGCTATTCAAATCTTCTAGTTTTAATTAGTTAAATCAAGTAATCTCAGCAAATATTCCAAATATACTTTGGTTTAGATGTATGCATGATATTTTTTTTCTTAAAAAACAGTTACAGATTAAAATAGGATAGAGAAAATAAATGCATATTCCACATACAGGTAGTAAGCAGCAAACTGGAGGAACACTTATTATCTAAATAAATTCTGTAGTGAAATTTTGTGAAACCAATCACAAAAGATTTGCTTGTTTATTCATATATCAGCGCTAAGGATTACACTATGCGTACAGAAAATAATGGGCTGCATTTAAAAGAGTATCACTTTTCAAAAGCATCCAATCCACCCAGAATAACAAAATTGTAGAGGTAAAAGATGAAATACTTCTGGGTTGATGGTAGTTTATTTCACTGCCCTCTTTAACAATGGGAAAAAATTAGCCAAATATAACTCTTAAAAATTATGAACAGATTAAAAAAAAAAATTACACATGAAAAAAATGGTCTTGAGATGAACTGTGATACAGCAGTATAAAATTCCTAAAGATGTCTAAACCAACTAAAACTAGATGCTACAAAACACATGCCAAATAGCAGTCAGATCCTAGCAAGGAAGTGAAGACAAAAAATAAGAATTAGAAAGTTAACCAGAAGCATCCATAGTGAAGTCTATGCCCCACAACTCATTGCCACCTGTTTCTTGTTAATTCACATTGGCATTATATATAAGATGCATTCACAAATATTTGGAAATGACATGGCAATTCTCTCTTACATACAAAATACTGCTAAATTATGAATGATTCTCTGCACTGTTTTTCAGAGATGAAACAGATAAAATATAGTACATTAGTTTAATAACTTTTTTTTTTTTTTTTGTTACTCTCAGGCCACAGTTGCATTTATTCTTTTTCTGAAAACTATAAGCAGGAAATTCAGAGATTGCCCAGCTGTCTAATTTCAGTCCCATTTAACCACAGTGAAAAAGACATGGAAATTTTTGTAAGTTTTGTAATTAAGGGCAACACAATTCCAAAGGAATAGCTTTCTTAAAACTTGAATTTTAATCACAATACTAAACCATAAGTAAGACATAAAAAATCAGTCAGTTCTGTCTACCCATACGTTTATCACATATTCAATAAGAAGAAATAATTTCCATTTTGTGGAAATAAAAAATTATATAATTTTAAGTGACAAATTTGAATGATGCTTCCATTTCTTCCAGGGTATAAATTCAGAATCTTTTCAAGATATGAAAATTGGCAGAAATTTATCAGATTTTTTTTAGAATGAATTAAAATACTGCTTGTATGTTAGCACTTCCAAAAGAATAATTTCTGTTCGTGCCATGGTATTGTTCATATGTGCATTTTCAGAAGTATGTCATATTTCAATTATAGCAATCTGTAAACTAAGTCTGCAAGTTTTAGATGATCCACATAGATGATGCATAAAAAACATTCTCTCATAAGCAACATTTTCTTGACATTCATTTTTATTATGATGCTTCCATATTTTTAGAAGAACCATCTGAGACACTGTTGAAACAGGTTATAAATAGAATACTACATTTGATAGATTCTTTCAGATTATAGAATTGACATTTGGTCTATGCTTCTCTTGATTTTTGTGCAGGGATAACCACGTTTCTCATCCTTAAAGAATAAGAATTCTTAAAGAGAGTTAGCAGCTGTATTTCCACTCACGATCCCCTACACAAGAAGGAAAAGAGTAAAAATCATACTAGATCCTTTCATAATCAGTTGAAAATTTATGAGTAAAGGCATTATTACTAAACTATACGATTTGCACATCATCTACTCTGCATAAACCACAGTGATTCACTACATTGATTCAGCACACAAACAGCAATACAATCAGAGCAACATCTCTGAAATAAAACAATCAGAAACTCTTATCTTGTAAAGATCAGACAAGTTAAAATATTTTATTTCTGTGACAGAACAATCCCATATTTAATCTTTCTTTCATAATAATAATAAAAAAGCAAAACTGTAGAAGAAATAATAACAGAACTACAACTGAATATCTCTAAAAATGGTGAAGTAGTTCTCTGCATGGTTTTGTTTGGAGGCCTATGTTTCCAGCTATAAACCTGGGATGTGTTAGAGAACTGGTGTCTGGGTGCAGTATTGACTGGCAGCTGCTTGGGGGTGGTGGGAACAGGGTTTGGCAGGGCAGGGTCTCTCCAGTCAGGGTCTATCCCACCACACTTTGATGGATTGACCCCAGCTTAGTACCCATTCTGCTTACCACTCATTAACCCCCACCTGGAGAAGGAGTAGGTAAAGCAAAATCAAGAAAACTCATAGGTTAAGACACTTCAGTAAATGATGGAAAGAGGGAAAAAAAGCAATCACACTCCAGTTCTCCATAAATAGACCAGTGCTAAGTCAATATGCAAGAAATGTGTGCTTTTTTTTTCTTTTTTTTAAGACAAAAAACCTGTTTATCATTTTTTCATTTCATATTAGTTTAAGGTTTTGTGTGATTTTTGCTCTTTAAATGGATTGTAGAAATCAAATGAAAATTCTTTCATTGACATAATATATGGGCAAAAAATAAAGAAATAAAGAAAAAAACTTCACAACTTTTCCTAAGATGTGCTTTTGCATTTTAAAGAGTCCTTCTACTTGATCATTAAAGAGAAAAAAAAGGATTGAAGTTAATAGAAATTCCTAGATTTAGAATTTCAGTCAAGAGAAAATGTTACTGATAGTTTCAGCCTATAAGGTTGAAGAGTACATACTTAAGTAAGGTAAATTAGATAGCACAGTAGTACGCAATGAGATTTTCACTGGATCAGCTGAAGAAACTGGAAATTGAACTACCTTATGATCAACAGAATAAAGCTATTTAATTGAAATTGATTCTAATTTCACGTACTGTTCTTTTGATTTGTTTAAAGCAATGGCACTCTGGAAGGAAAAGATTAAAATAGACTATGTGAAAAGTAACACACCAACCCCTTGCCTGTATACAAGATCCAGATCCATCTACTGTTAGTATGGATGTATCTTCTCTTTAAGAAAAGAGTGACTAGCGACTCATTACATCTATGAAAACTAAAGAAAAGTTTAATTAAAAACGTTAGCTGTAACTAGCTGAAGAAAAATTGATCTTAAAACCTTTAAAAAGTAAAACCACTACATTTCCTATTGGGAATTCTTTCAGCTATCCAGACTTGATATATTTTCAGAAGACCTTGAAAGAGGTTAAGTAGCTAAAGCTCATTAAAATTAAGCGGAGTTTACAGCTTTAACTTCTTTTGAAATCTCATCTGACATTCACTTGGTAACAAAAAGCAAACTCAGATAATAACAAATAGGTTTCCATTTACAATGGAACTGTTGCAATTTATATATTTTATATATATAATATATTATTATATATTATATTATATATATATAATATAATATATATATTATATATATTTTATATATATTTATATATTTTTTTTACCGGTGGAGTACTGAAAATGTAGAAGGATGAACCCCTCAGTGCTAGAAACTTGAATTTGTAGAGCTGAGATGAATCAGTTCCTTCAAGTCTCTCATGCACCCATCCCATATGAATGACCTGTAAAAGAAAATAATTGAAGATCAAGGATCTATGTTTTTCAATGATATATCTGAATAGGTTAAATCTTTCCACAAGGAAAAGTGGTCATCTTAGTGAGAATCTATCATTTTCTTCATGCTTTCCTTCCTATCACTATCACACTCTTGAGCCTCTTAATCATGTAAAAAAGACAAACCAGGTCAAAAGCCCTCAAAGAAGCTTAATTTTTTCAGTGCAAGTTGTCTGAATCTTGCTCCTATCCCAGGTAGTGAAATTAACAGATCCGTATATACTGTCTGTCTACAACAACTAATGAGAAAATTTCACAGGAAAAAAAAAAAAAAGTAATTTTCATAAAATTAAGTGTTCCAAGACAGTGAATCTGTCTACATTATGAGGTCCATAGTTACCATTTTAAAAGTCAATATACGTGTTCCACTTGAGCCAGCAGAAAGGTGTACTGAAACAGTCCAGCCAGCAGTTTATAAACCTACATATAGTGCAGTCAAATCTTGGACATAATAGAATTTCATTTCCTTAAACCTCTAAAATACATCTGAGTAAGTCACTAGAGTTATCTGAAATCTAATAGCTTTCTGTATGCTTACATATGTCATTGTTAACAAAGGGTCTCTGTCACACTAATTGTCTTACGGTGTTTATATACGTTTTATCTCATGACAGTGATTTATATTCTGCTGGAATTAAATGTCAACTTCATCAATTAAAGAAGTTTTCTCTAACAGTATTACAATGTGTTTCTTTATATTTCAGACAGATCAATCTTAAGAAAACATAAAATTAAGTAGGAGCACAGCCTTCCTTTCTGAGGGAAATGCAAATTTCTGAAGGAATAATGCCATATTGTGGCATTAGAATATTATGAATGTAATTTCTCATGAAAAATGACAACCTAAATGTACACAAAATGAAAGCTGAAGTGTTTAAGAGGAGCATATTACCCTTGAAACAGGTTACCCTAGATCGACCAACCTGGATATTTAGCAACTGCTGAAATCTTTTCTCATTTTCAATTAAGGATACACTTATGAAAAACACAAAAATACAGGGGCAGAAATGTCATAACGCTTGTGAATATTCTGACTCTATGGAACACTGCTGGAAGTCAGTGGAAATAAAGACTGGAGAAAGTATTCATTAAATCACATGAAAGCCTCAGCATTTGTTCTATGGATACATTATAAAACAAAAACAAAACCAATAACTAAAAAAAAAACAAACCAAAACCAACTCCAAACAACTCAAAAATGCATTTTTTATTGAAAACTTGGTGTGTGTATATGCAGCTACTGCTATTAGAGCAAAAAAAGTAGAAAAAATTATAGGGAACAGTTAACGGTATAAAAATACATTCACAGTTTTGTATCACATATTTCACAATTTCACATATTTATTTTTCTAGTTATTTATTATATCAAACTAATAGCTTTTAGCTATCAAATTGTTTAGGAATAATAATATAGATCAATATGTTGATTATGACTATGTCTACTATACTCTTCTGAGCTCCAATGTTAATGTTTTAAAAAGTTCTACAAAATAACACGACAAATATAACAGTCTTTACAATTCTCACTTTGCTATTGTGTAAATCCAATAACTCTCATCAGAATGTTGCCTCTGTACTAGTCAGTAAAGGTTTAGCAACAATAAAGGTTTAGTAACAAAATGTTCAGATACTTCAACATTTTAGCAAAATATGCCCCGGTATCACTGATAAATCACTCCAAACTATAAGAAATCACAGAATCAGAATTGTCTGGGTTGGAAGGGACCTCCAGAGATCATCGAGTCCAACCCCCCTGCCAAAGCAGGTTCCCTACAGCAGGTCGCACAGGGAGGCATCCAGGCAGGTCTTGAACATCTCCAGAGAAGGAGACTCCACCACCTCCCTGGGCAGCCTGTTCCAGTGCTCCGTCACCTCACTGTAAAGAAGTTCTTGCGCACATTTGTGCGGAACTTCCTATGCTGCAGTTTCCAGCCGTTTCCCCTTGTCCTGTCTCCACTCACCACTGAAAACAGTCTGGCCTCGCCATTCTGCCCCCCACACCTTAGATACTTATAGACCTGGATCAGGTCCCCTCTCAGTCTCCTTTTCTCAAGGCTGAACAGACCCAGATCACTCAGCCTTTCCTCATAGGAGAGATGCTCCAGGCCCTTCAACATCTTCGTGGCCCTCCGCTGGACTCTTTCCAAGAGATCCCTGTCTTTTTTGTACTGGGGAGCCCAGAACTGGATGCAGTACTCCAGATGAGGCCTCACCAGGGCAGAGTAGAGGGGGAGGATCACCTCCCTCGACCTGCTGGCCACGCTCTTTTTAATGCACCCCAGTAAGCCATTGGCCTTTTTAGCCACAAGGGCACACTGCTGGCTCATGGCCAACCTGTCATCCACCAGGACACCCAGGTCCCTCTCCGCAGAGCTCCTCTCCAGCAGCTCATCCTCCAACCTGTACTGGTGCATGGAATTATTCCTCCCCAGATGCAAGACTCTACACTTGCTTTTGTTAAACCTCATCCGGTTTTTTTCTGCCCAGCTCTCCAGCCTATCCAGGTCTTGCTGAATGGCAGCACAGCCTTCAGGCGTGTCAGCCAATCCTCCCAACTTCGTATCATCAGCAAACTTGCTGAGGGTGGCCACTATCCCCTCATCAAGGTCACTGATGAAGATGTTGAACAAGACTGGACCCAGCACTGACCCCTGAGAAACACCACTGGTTACAGGTCTCAAACCGGACTCTGCACTGCCAACAATGACTCTTTGTGCTCTGCCAGTTAAATATTGCTTTTATCAGCATGATAATATAATATGAAATAATCCTGAGAAAAAAACAACTATGTCCAAATCGCAGGATCCAAACAATACGTTATTCTCCTTTACATGCTGAAATTCACGATTGCTGACTCGCAAATACATGCAATTCATTAATCTGTATAACTACTAAATAATTTACTGACTACATTGAGAAATAAAAGATTTAGCTCACTATTGTTTTTCATTTATCATTATCATCACTGCCATCAGAATCATCATCTTTTAAAACAGCATTTGCAAAAGAATTCCACAGTGTCAAATATAAAAACATAGTCGTGGATAAAGTCTTCAGCTTGACCAGACCATTCAACAAGCACCATATATTAAACCAATTACATGACTCATATTGAAAAATATAATTATATATCTAGCAACAAGCCAAAAATTTACATTCTATGTACTAGATCAGAATTTCTTAGAAGTTCTTAGCTGAAACTCAGGGCAGGATGGTATCTGAAAACTGCAACTCCATTTGTCAGGTGTATTTTCACTTCAAACTGTGTGTCATTTTCTGTTACTGAAAATAAAATTTTTAGCTTGATTCATCTAGTTGACAGGAACCAAAACTTGGCCTGTAAGCATAGGTCTTATGTACCAACCATAATGCAAAAATCAACCATAACCTTCTTTTGACTTTCTTACACTTAGAGAAAGGGTACTGAATTTCTCTAACTTGAAGTAAAAGATTTCTTTGCAATGAACATGTTCTTTTTGCCAAAATTTTCCATCTGTGAAATGGGAATAATATCCTTACTTACTTTATAGATTTTGTATGAAGACTCTGTCACTCTTGTATTCTTATCTATGACTGCAAGACGTTGGTAGCAGTGCCAAACATTATAGCCATGATTTAGTGTAGCACTTAATCTTCTATGTAATTCTCTTGAAAATGTATTTAGCTATCAACAGAGAATGCATTTTTTGATTAGCTGCAGACATACTTTTGGGCATGTGCTCTAAGTTTTTTGCTGAAATGGAACTGCATTATTATTTTTATTAGTCACACAATACTGTGATCAGTCTTCCTGCAATAGATCAGAATCAGCTTGAAAGTTGATTCTTCACATCAAAGAGGTGGTTTTCTTAACTACTAACATCCATAAAGTGAATGTTAAGCTGTCCCAAGGGTCGCTTGTAGAATCTTTTTCAACCTCAGACAAAAATGAATAATACAATAAATAATACAATAACACATCCTCTGAATTAGATTCTGGGAGAATTCAACCTCTTTCTGAGGGAAAGATTCACTGAACTATTACAACATTCTAATATTGTATTTAACTTCTCATTCATCTAAATTCTTATGAAAAAATACATCAATATGGAATAAGGTAACCTATACTTCCTCAAAAACTAAACACTACTACTTCAGTTACATTTCAAATACATTGCTCTCTATTTAGTCTGCTTAATGGAAACAACTTACAAAACTTCAGTTTCAGGAAGAACTTATATAAAAATAAAAAAACATCAAACAATGTATGATCAAAACAAACATTATACTAGAACCATTAAAAACATTGAGAACTTTCTTTGTTTCTAAATGTCATTATAATTCCCAAGAAGTATCAGAAAATGATCAACAGTTCTTCACTCTTTATTCCCTTAGGAACCTTTACTGAGCTTTGTCCTCATAGCTTGTGGAAGAAGGAAATAATTATATACTTCATAGTAGAAATAAGAAAAAAACAGCCTGCTAATTTGTGTCTTACAAAAGAAAATATATATATATATACCCACAAAAACAGGATGTGCTACTGCTCAATGTTATTTTAAAAGAATAAAACACCCATCAAAAATCTTTTAAATTACAAGATTGAAAAAGACAATGGAAAAGATACTAAGCAGTTTAGGTTTTTCTTCCTACTGAATAGAAAATACAGGAATATGACAAAACAGAAAATAAAAATGGAGAGGACAAACAAAAGCACACTATACAGGTATATGAAGGGGAAAACATGGTAAAAATATCTGGGAGGAAAAAAACATAAAGAAGATACCAAATGTATGCTTGCCCCATCCCTGGAGGTGTTCAAGGCTAGACTGGATGGGGCTCTGGGCAGCCTGGTCTAGTATTAGATATGGAAGTTGGCAGCCCTGCATGTGGTAGGGGGTTGGAGTTTATGGTTCCTTCCAACCCAAACCATTCTATGATTCCATGATAAGAAGAAAAAAAAATGTTT